AAATGAAAGAACTAGGGGACTTGTTAAACTGTTAAGCCACTAACAAAAAATGAATCCTGTACCTAAGTTATCTTTGTACTCACTGGAGGGGATAATTCTTTAAGTTCAAGTTCTAGAATACAATACCCCCTCCCCAACACAAAACATCTGTAGAGCAATGGAGGGAGGAGTGGGGGTCAAGTAGTAGAGCCCTTGCCTAGAAATTCAAGGCCAGTGCTATAGGCAGGTGGGGTGGAGGGGATGAGAGGTGGAAAACAGTTCAGCTTGAGCTAGTGGAGCACAGCTGTAATCTTGTAATCTCTGCATTATGTATAGGAAGTAGAAGAGGAACATAGACTGAGAGTTGTGGTCAGTCTGGGCTACATAGTAGTTCAAAGGTCAGGTTGGGTCACTCAGCAAGAACCTATCTACCTTTTCTTTTTTGGTTGGTTGTGGGGCTTGAACTCAGGGCCTGGGTCCTGTTCCTGAGCCTCTTTGTACTCAAGGCTAGTTTTCTACCACTTGAGCCACAGGGCCACTTCCAGTTTTTGAGTGGAGACTTTTTTTTTGCCTGCGCTGGTTTTGAACCATGATCCTCAGATCTCAGCCTCCTGAGTACCTAGGATTACAGGTGTGAGCCACCAGCGCTTAGCAAGAACCTATCTAAACAAACCAAGGTTGGGTTTATAGCTTAGTGGCCCACTGCTTGTCTAGCATGTACAAGGCCCTGAATTTGATCCCTACCATTATAAGAATAGGAAAGAATGGAACAAAAGGAAAGAGAGGGAAAGATATGGGAGGGAGAGAAAGGGGAGAGGGGACCAGGTAGAGAGTGGGAAAGGGAAAAGAAGGAAGGAAGGAATGAAGGAAGGAAGGAAATAAAGAAGGAAGGAAGTAGGATGAGAGTATAATAAATATTGCACAGTTTCTTACATAAAGACATTTGTAACTCGTGTTGATAACACTTTGGGGTTAGGCTTCAGTGTAACACGTTGTAGGTCGGTGACAGTAACTAGTGGATTCCATTCCTTTGGTGATGGCATAAGCTTCAATTATAAAACAAGACATTATTAAAAACATTTTAAAATATCCAAAAGATAAACATACTAAACATGCTAAATCAGTGAACTTGAGTGCTGAGTCAATGTAAGATATACCCGTTACTCCACTCAATTTCTGCTTCCAAGTATTGGGCTGGGAAAAGTGGCTCAATGGTAGAGTGCTTGCCTCACATGCATGAGGCCCTGGGTTCAATTCCTCAGCATCACACAAGCAGAAAAAGCTGGAAGTGGCGGTTAGGCTCAAATGGCAGAGCGCTAGCCTTGAGCTGAAGAACTGAGGGACAGTGCCCAGGCCCAGAGTTCAGGCCCCACAACCAACAAAAAAACCCCACAAACAAACAACAACAAAATAAACTTCCAACTATTAGTTCTTCCTCTGGAGACTAATTAATGGTTGGTAAATAAAACTGCCTTATTGAATAATTTTGGGATCTATACATCTTTTTTTTTTCTTTCTTTTTTTTTGGGGGTCCGGTCGTGGGCCTGAACTCTGGGCCTGGGTGCTGTCCCTCAGCTCTTCAGCTCAAGGCTAGTGCTCTATCACTTGAGCCATAGCGCCACTTTCGGCTTTTTTTTTCTTTTTGCTTATGTGGTGCTGAGGAATCGAACCCAAGTGCTCTACCACTGAGCCACCTTCCCAGCCCAAGGGATCTATACATCTTGTTGAAGAGATATAAAGCCACTATAATGAAACATCAAATATTTATGTTTCCATAAAGGAACAACCAGGTTAAACCAGAATGACAGTGTCCATGGTCAGTGATATCTTACCTTCCTCCTTTCATCAATATTCTGAGTCTTCTTTAATTTCACAGTCAGTAGATCTTTAACTGTTATATGCATGGGTCCTTCTTTTTTTAATGGTCCAGTCTTAAAATAGATAGAGAGGTTAGAATTCAAATTGGGATCAGGACATCTAGGGAAATGCAAATCTAGTTTTTAAAGATTCTGAACCTTATCTCTAATTATCCAGCAAAAAGCCAGAAGTGGAGGTGTATATAGTTCAACTGGCACAATTTTAAAAAAATTATATAAGTACACACACATTTTTTTGTACTGGGATTGAATTTAGGACCTTGCCATTGCTAGGAAACTGCTCTACAGCTTGAGCTATACCCACAGTCCTTTTGCTTTTTTGGTCATGGGGCTTGAATTTAGGAGCTGAGCCCTGTCCCTGAGCTGTTTTTTGCTCAAGACTAGCACTTTACCAGTTTGAGCCACATCTCCACTTTTGGTTTTTTAGCGGTTAATTGGAGATAAGAGCCTCAGGGACATTAGTTGGCTTTGAATAGCAATCCTCAGATGTCAGCCTCCTGAGTAGATAGGATTACATGTGTGAGCCACCAGTACCCAGCATAACATTGATTTCTAAATCCAGTGTTTATAAATTCTCTGGAGACAGTGTTTGTGTTTTTAAATATAAGAATTGGACCTTGTACTTGCTTTATGATATGTAGTAGTGACCACGCTTTATCAAGAGTTATTTGAAAAAATGGTGCCAAGTACCAAAAAAAAAAAAAAAAAGACTTGGCCAGGTATGATGGCATGCACCTGTAGTCCTAGTTACTCAGTAGGCAACACTGACTAAGACCTCTATCTACAAAAGAAAAAAAATTAAAAATGAAATCACTAGGAATAAAATTAAGATGTAGAATCAACACAAAATAAATATAGCTCTCCTAGCTAAGACTTTAGCCCAGCCTTAAAAGGTCATTCCTCAATTATTTCCTACCTGAAGTGTTTTAGTAGCAGCAGATTTTCTGAGCAGCAAAGGTGCCAGTGGTGGTGGGGGAGGGGGAAGAGGAGGAGGTGGAGGGGGTGGTGGTGGAGGAGGAGGGGGAGGGGGAGGAGGATGGCTGGCTGGCTCTGGCACTGTGGGAGGGAGTGCGACCTGGGATTCTCCAGGGGTAACTGGAGCACAGGCAGGATCTTTTGTGAGTGTACCACTCATGTGACATGTTTGACAGCGGTGTAGACAAGAATTTTCGGACACAGTCTGGAAGACATAACATGTGGCACACAAGCAACAGGTTAACTTTATTCTTATGGGTGGAATTTGTCAAAACAGTATTGGCATGCATAGAATATCACAACTTCCTTTATTTCATTCATTCATGTATCCATTCTTTTGTTCCTTGTATATGCTGCATAATAGACATTGAGTACATGAGTACTATCTGCCTTAAACAAACAAACATACATAAACACACTCAAAACAACCCAAACAAATACCTGAGTAAGAACAAACAAGTGAATTCTTTTTTTTTCTTTTTTTTTCAATTCCTGGGGCTTGAACTCAGGGCCTGGGCATTGTCCTTGAACAGCTTCTTTTACTCAAGGGTAGCACTCTACCACTTGAGCCACAGCACCACTCCCCGGCTTTTTCTGTGTATATGGTACCGAGGAATTGAACCCAGGGCTTCATGCATGCTAGGCAAGCACTCTACCACTCAGCCACATTCACAGCCCTAGATTTGGTTTTATTCTGATTAATACCAGCCTTCAGTGTTTCTTGAAGCTTGCATAACTCGTCTTCCAATATGCATAATTGTTGTTTCAGACTGCGAAGTTCTCGGTGATAAATTCGAGATGGGAAGATGGTATCTTTCAGTACTTCTAAACTCTGAAAGTCACAAATAAAAAGGTCTGACCTCTATCAGCAGTATGATAAAGAAGACAAGAAAGCAATAAGAAAGTAGTTTGATGGTTCTGTATTTAAAAAAAAATTTCCCATTGAGATGGTGTCTCAATAAGTAGCCCAAGCTGGTCCCTAACTAGCTGCATAGATCAGGTTGCTCTTGAACTCCCTATCCCACTATGTCCCCCCTCCAAGAGCCGGGATCATAGACAAGCCCTCCCACACCTGGTTTGATGAATGTCTATGAAGCACAATTCCAAGCTGGACGTGGCGCCAGTGGCTCACTTCTGATTGTGGTTCAAAGCCAGCCTAGGAAGGAAAATCCTTGAGACTTTTAGCTCCAATTAACCACCAGAAAACTGGAAGTGGCGCTGTGCTCAGGTAGTAGAGTTGTAGCCTTTAGCTGAAGAGCTGAAGGACAGTGCCCAGGCCCAGAGTTCAAGCCCCTCAACCGATGTAAGCTCATTGACATATGAGTAGAAATACCAAGTGTGTTAAAATTAAAATTACACTGCTAAAAGCAGGTATGTCAAACCCATACCTGGGCTATGAAGCTCTGGCACCAATTGTATAGATACCATGTTTTATTTGTCCAAAGGTTGACTGCATCTTTGATGTTGGGAAACTTGAAGTTGCAGGATGGTTTTAGCCAGTTTCTACTTTGGGGTATGTCTGTTGAAGAAGTAACTACTCTGTAGGAAAAACAAAAACAAATGGAACAAATAATGATAACAATAACCATAAACCCTAAGTCAGAATAGTAGCCTCTAACTGATTACAAGCTGTTTTTATTTATTTTTACTTACGTTTTGGTGCTGGGGATTGAACACAGGGTTGCCTGCTAAGCACACATTCTACCATTAAACTGCACTTCAGCCCCAAGAATATGGCCTTATAGTGTGATTTGAGACTTCTAATACCAAACACGTTGCAAAAGTCTAGAATGCAGGTATTCAAACTAATTTTTTCGTTGTTGTTGTTGGTCGTGTGGCTTGAATGCTGGGCCTGGGCACCATCCCTCAGCTCTTCAGCTCAAAGTGAGTGCTCTACTACTTAAGCCACAATGACACTTCTGGTTTTCTAGTGGTTAATTGGAAATAAGAGTCTCATAGAGGGCTGGGAAGGTGGCTCAGTGGTAGAATGCTTACCTTGCATGCATGAGATCCTTGGTTTGATTCCTCAGCACCACATAAGTGGAAAAAGAAAGCCAGAAGTAGTGCTATGGCTCAAGTGGTAGTGCGCTAGCCTTGAGCTGAAGAGCTGAGGGACAGCGCCCAGGCTCAGAGTTCAGGCCCCATGATTGGACCCACCCCCCCAAAAAAAAAAAAAAAAAGTCTCATAGACTTTCCTGCCCAGGCTGGCTTTGAATTTTGATCCTCAGATCTCAGTATCTTGAGTAGTAAGGATTACAGGTGTGAGCCACCAGCTAGCTCCTAGGGCTCAACAAAATCTATATATCTTTTTTTGGTCAGTCGTGGGGCTTGAACTCTGGGCTTGGGCGCTGTCCCTCAGCTCTTCAGCTCAAGGCAAGCACTCTACGGCTTGAGCCACAGCGCCACTTCCAGTTTTTCAGTGGTTTATTGGAGATAAGAGTCTCACGGACTTTCCTGCCCAGGCTAGCTTTGAACTGTGATCCTCAGATCTCAGCCTTCTGAGTAGCTAGGATTACAGGTGTGAGCCACTGGGGCCCGGCTTTCAACAAATATTTTTTAAAAGCGATTTCTGCAGTCAATGACAGAAATCAGCAGTAACTGAACATCTTGCCTTCATGAAGTTTATATCTTACGAGGAAAGAAAGAGGAAAATAAATAAATAATAAATAAATAAATCTAATATTTTCTCTGTTCCACATGGTTTTTTGCTTACTTTTCTGATGAAGGCAGTGGAGAGGGAAATGTAAGTAGCTTGGAATGGAAGTGAGAGGCTTCTTTCTTCTTGAATAATCTTTTGGCTTTGGCTTTTAACTTTCTTCTTCGCTGTTTGTACTTGGGCATGATTTCTGTGGAGAATTTTTAAAGTATTATTTAAACTGATGCACAATACATAGACACATAAACATATAAAATGCAAGCCGGGTGCCAGTGACTCATGCCTGTAATCCTACCTCTACTCAGGGCTGAGATCTGAGGATTGAGGTTCAAAGCCATCCCAGGCAAGAAAGACCATGAGACTCATCTCCAATAAACCACCAGAAAACCAAAAGTGGCACTATGGCTCAAGTGGTACAGCACTAGCCTTGAGCTGAAGAGCTCAGGGACAGCGCCCAGGCCCAGAGTTCAAGCCCTATGACGGATAAAAAACCCAAAACAAAACATATAAAGTGCATAAACCTTAAGTGTATAATTGAATGAATTACCACACAGTAACATTCACACACACACACACACACACACACACACACACACACACACACTTGTAACCATTACCTTGGATTATTTAAAAACAAAAATTATGCTTTTTTTCTTCCTTCCTTTCATTTCTTCTATCACTTAGGTTAAGAAATAAATTTAAGCTGGACACTGGTGGCTCATACCTATAATCCTGCTACTCAGGAGACTGAGATCTGAGGATCACGGTTCTAAGCCAGCCTGGGCAGGAAAGTCCGTGAGACTTTTATGTTCAATTGACCACCAGAAAACTGGAAGTGGTGCTGTGGCTCAAGTGGTAGAGCACTTGCCTTGAGCTGAAGAGCTGAGGGACAGTGCCCAGGCCCAGAATTCAAGCCCCACCACTGACCCAAAAAAAAAAAAATTTACCTGATTACAGAGATATGTAATCCTACTACTTGGTAGGCAGAGGAAATAGGATTATAGGTTTGCAGGTTAGTGACCATCCTGGGCCATAAGGCAAGATCCTATCTCAAATGAACAAACAACCCCAAAGAAATAAGTGAGTATCAACAGTTTAGAAATTCCTAACATATGGAAGTGGCACTGTGGCTCAAGTGATAAGAGTGCTTGCCTTGAGCTGAAGAGATGAGGGACAGCACCCAGGCCCAGAGTTCA